TTTTAGTTTGCACATTGCAGCAAGGTAGATCATATCGACCGTTTCTGCATCGCCTCTGATAATGCTAGCCACAGTAGCAGATGAAACGTCTGGTATAAAAACTTACAGATCGTGACTAATGAATCTGGAAATATCGGACAACTTGCTACCTATGTAAACTTGTTGGGGTCGATATAAATGCAATAAATTGAAGTTACGTTTCAATTATATCGTTTGCAATATTTTTTCGAAAAAATACAAGTGACCCTTCTCAGATACAGAATGACTGCGATCGGAAAATCCAGTAGTAGTAGTAATCAGAAGTTCGAGCAAGTGTTGGATCTTCTTTTTTAGGTACCGAGAATATTTTCACTCATGGAGTATCAATTTTTTTGACGCTCATTTTCATGGCTTGTTGGAAATATATCTTCAACATTTCAGTCTGAAGATATCAAATATTATGAAGGATGAGAAATAATTCACATATTTTAATTGCTGAATAATTTCTCAGAAATATAAAAATTTTGAAGTTTAATGTGGTTGGATGTGATTTTTAGCTTCAAATACCCCAAACCAGACGTACATAAGAAATACTTATTCTAAGTAGGTACACGCTATTCTTGAATACAATGATATTTTAGAGTTTGAATAGAAATACTTGTATTCATGTTCGGCTAATTTATGGTGGTGCTTTCACTATTTCAGCTGCTCTCAAAATAATGTCTAGCCATAATATATGCAGAAAGTATATTTTGAATATAAGTCGATTCGTTGAAAAGTCAACTTATAAGTTTGAGTTGAGAAAGTGTAGGTATAATAATTTACTCAATAGCCAGCAGGCTTTTCTCAAACATTGACCAGGTATTTCGATTATCAAATAACAAAGATTGGGGCACGAATCTTAAGTTTTGGCATTTGGCAGATGTAGTCACGGTCTCTGTCATGTTGTTTTAGCCATGCAAGTCGGGAGACAACGTTCTGGCTGTTTCTCAATTGAAGGTAAATTACTGTTTTGATCTTTATATGAAAGGATCCTATCTTTGAGAGCCAATGATACAAATTCACATGTTACTGACCTTATATTTATTCATTGTACATCATTTTATTGAATTGCTTTGATAAATTCATTGAAACCAAGTAAGTAATGGCATCAAAATATTGTTTTTCGTCTCTGAAGACTGGCTACAATGTCGATTTCGCACAAAGAATCTTTTCGAGCACGAAATCTTATGCATGCATTAATATTTTTTACTCTATTTGAAGATATCTATCCAATGATTTTTGGATTTTCATGTTAAGCAGATGTGTGTTACTTCTCAGATCATGCCAAATGAAGCCCTCAATGGAAATTATCGTTTTGTAAATTATTACTAAATAGTTCAGTGATATCAGGAATTCAAATTCCAGCACAATTTTTTCTTTTTTTTTTGTTACTAACAAAATGCCAAAACTAAGAAATTTTTTGTACTAGTGAAATAAATAAATATTTCCACATGAGTCGCTTTTTTCAACTTTAGGAAGAAAGTTGATATGAGCTTTGTCGTTGAGAATGTATTTACGAATCGAAATACATGATAAAATATAAGGTGTTCCATTTAAAAAAATGTCATTTTATGAAATATTTTGCAAACGCGACTATCATTTTTTTTGTATTCAGAATGGAGAAAGCTATTAAAAAATGATACTAATTTGCCAATTCAACCGAATTCCTAGCATCAACAATAACGGAGTTGGCATGGTGCGGACTTAATTTGGAAAATCCTGTATACCTAAATTGACGCCATCAATAAATATACATTTTCGACTAAATTTGATTATGTGTGGTTGTGAAACTATATTTTGTATTTGCAGTGTATTTTAAGATCATGAATTGAATTGATTTCGTCGAAACATAGTACTGAATGTTTTCTATTATTTTTAGCATCATTATAAATGAACATGCGTATTCCTGAATGGTATATTCCTCTATATTTTTCAGATCTCTGACTGTGGAATGGTTCTTGAGGAACAACCCGGGAAAGTTAGCGAAGCCTTCAGATTATTTTTGCAAGGAGAAGGATACGGTAAGTGAAAACTTATGGGATCCTCAAGACGTCAGTTATTGGTTTAGAGTAGAATTATAACATCTAGAACTTATGAATTGTTGTTTCCTTCTGAAGCTATCAATGACAATAAGTGGATGAAGTTTCCTGAAACGTAACAACTGATTAAGATGTAAATCATCACTGCCACTTACATACACGCTCAAAACACTGCTTTGCAATTATTCAGACAACGTTGGATCTATTCAAACTGTTTTCGAAAAAAAGTTGTCTTATTATATTCATTGATAAATTGTTGTTATTGTCGACGGATTTCACTATTACATTGAGAAGTAGAGTTGAGAAAGTGTTGGATAATTCAACTAATTTCACCTATTTTGAAATTGAGTAAATATCAGCACTAAGTACAATTAATAAAATAGTAGGGGTTATTAAAACTTCTTCCAATTAATCATATTTCTCAGTTCAGTGGTTCTGTTGTTGTCATAGTTCTGTTATGTGGCAAACCATAATACATTAATGTGCTGTCGGTTGGAAATTGAGATGAACAGAGAGACGAGTGAAGTGATTTCCTGTGAAAACATTTGTTTGAATGTGGTTGACAATACTTTTTGTTGAATGCTACAGATCTCTTTGAAAATAGATAGATTTCAATCCTTCTTATGAAGTTAGAGACATTTATAATGTGAAATTATAGTAACTCACTGAGGTAATTGCGGTTACTATCTTGTCTTGAGAAATTCGATTTGAAATTTGTTCTGTTTTTTCAACTTATATATTTCTAACATTTCAGTTGATCTTAACAATATTTGTTTCAGAATTCTGATTTATATTTTTTTAGGCTTACTTTCATATCCATTTGTTCTCCATTCATATTTAAAATCCAAATTGATAAAGTTAGAACCTATAATTTTCGTTGTTATTTATTTCTGTACTCATATGAATGAATCTATTCAACCACTCCAGATGAGAAAATAGCGTTTCTTCTGGCAAATTACTTATATTCCTAAAATTTGGTTAATTTTTTGACACAGTATAAATATAATTATGTTTTTGTTCGAATATGCTTTTCCTGACGTGATTTTTTTTTGGTGTTATCATTTCAGGATTAAGAAAGCCTCTTCATTTATTCAAATTACAGATATCTCATAAACTGACGAATCAACACTTCCGGTATAAGAGAATTCGAATTATAATATAGGTCATTCTATTTTTTGTGTTTTTCTGTTGAATAGCTGTCAATAATAAGTATATGCTGATACAGAATTTTCTAGTGATATTTTTTCGAAAATGGTTTGAAAAATATGTCGTTATANCTTGGAGTGAGCAAATCCTGGAAGATTCTGCAAGAAGTCTATAAATCTTCTTGCCATCCAGGTGTTCAGTCTTTGTTTGGCAAAATCTTCAGCGATGCCAATACCAGGTTCTGGTCTGATGAAGCTGCTTGCAGCACCCTCCTTTGCAAGGAAGTAAGTCAGCAGCCTCATTGCCTTCCAGGCCCGTATAGCCAGGAATCCGGACCAGTCTTTCTATCGAGGAGAGTCGTTTTTGACTATTTGCTACCAATTTAGACGTTGCTCGTTAGGAGCCAAGAGCTTCCAACGCCGCTTGACTGTCCGAGAATATGTTTATTGACTTGTAAATGAGTTCGGATTCTTCCAATCTCTTTGCACAAAATTCAATACTGTAAACTTCTGCTTGAAATACAGTCACATAGGTTCCTTCTTTTCTCATTCCATTGTCGCTTTTTGGCGAATGTTTTTGAGAGCGGTTGATTCGGATAGTTCCAACACTTACTATACATTTATTTTCTAAATATTGAAGTAGATGATATGGATTGAATTATTTGTCAAAGTACAATGTACAATGCATATCGTTCTTTTTTTTTAACTTATTTTTTCTGCTAAATGTACAACAGATCCTGCTGCAATGCTCAAACTATTATGGATGTCGCTGATTTCTGAACTTGCTCTTGGATGAATAACGGAATTGTAAACAAGTTCTGAACTTCCTGCAGGGAAAAAATTCCACACTTTTTGATGTATTGTTTTATGTCGATTTGACCTTCGAATAGGGTCGTTTGTTTTTCTACACATAAGCTAGTTTCTAAGTGTAAATTATGACATCGTTGTAAAATTATATTGCACAAATTTCTCACTTTCCATAGTCTGTCATTATTATTTTTAAGTCTTTTCATCCAAAAGGTGTGAAGTATTCCTAATTTTTGAATATCGATTATAGTATAGAAATACCAAACGATGAATTCCAGTACATCTTCCTCGTGGATATTTCAAATTATCTATTATGATGCTAATTGCAACCGTTTCTTTGATTTCTTTTGCCGTAGCTGGGGGAAATCTGACGATATTTTGTTGAACAGCATACAAGTTGTTTTTACCAGTGAATTATATGCCATATCTTTCCTTTGAGTTTTTTCGCAAATCCCATCAACACCTGAATCATTACGATGAAAATTTGATATTGATAGAGTACTTCAATGTTCTATAATGTCTGTCATGGTTTACAGTATTATTCGATGCTATTATTTGATGCAGTTTTTATCTACATCTCAATGTTTAAAGTATACTTTTATTCACAAATATTAATTTTTCAGCTATATCTATCCAACAGTAGATGAACTAGCCAATCAACTCAGCTATGTTATGACTCACTTCAAACTTAAACAGTTCATTGGCTTTGGAGTTGGCGCTGGAGCTAATATATTATGCCGGTTCGCTCTGAATCACCCTGAACTGGTATCTGCCCTTTGCTTAGTAAACTGTGTTAGTACGCAAGCAGGCTGGATTGAATGGGGGTACCAGAAACTCAATAGCAGACACTTGAGATCAAAAGGAATGACTCAGGGAGTTTTAGATTATCTGATGTGGCACCACTTTGGAAGGGTAAGCACCAGCAATGATGTATGTATGTATGTGATGTATTTCGAAAATAAATGTTTCCAATTTTCTATATATTCTTAATACTCATTGATTATTCATTTCAGATTTATTTTTTCATCTGAACAATACAACAAAATGCGTCTAATTCAAACAACAAAAACTCAGATTTGATAAAGACTCTACAAAGGAATTTCGTTCGATCCCAGACGTTGGATTTAGGGGGGCGTTATTCAGATCGGATTGTATCGATTGTAGAACAGTAAATAAGGAACTCGCGTTCCCTGGTGTTTCAGCACGTATTCTTTCTGCACGGTCTTGACCGAACAATCGTTGTACCTTAGCCACCAGTTGTAGCCGACGTGGAAGGCATCGATCACGTAGTGTCACAAGATGGCATCAAACCATCGTGGTAATCGACGACGAATAGCTTGTACTGCTTTCCTTTTGGAGACTGTGTTTCCGACGACACTAATGTCGAATCAATTTTCAGGTCGTTCAGACTGTTCAGTAAGTTGTAGAGTGGTGGACTCACGATCTGGTCTTGCAACATCGAGTTGATGTAGCAGTAATTGCCTTGATTAAGCAGACCCCTTGGCTGCAAACTAACTGCCTTACCTTCAAACGTGTTTGTAGATAGAAACTGCCCCATCCTATAAAACAGTCAGAATCCACGAACTGGTATAAATTCCTTCGCGGATATAAAATTCTTTTAGTATCGAATGATGCTTGGAATCAATTTGCAACCATTCAATTTTCCAATTCTGATTATTGGTGTATATTGGAAGGATACATAATCATAACTTTTGTATATAGCGATGTCTCGTCTGGAGAATATTGGGGTAGACCAAATTGAAACATTCATTTCGTTTGAATCGAACTTTCATAAATTTTTATTCAGATATAAATTTTACACTTAATGACGCAGAAACGTATTGACGTCACCCGAAAAAATATTTATGACAGGTTACTTATAGTGAACAAATTTTATATTTGATCAGATCCATAGTTTCAACATCTTTCTTTTCAACATCTTTGACATTATAATTAGATATACATATTTTTTTTAATGAAAGGGGTATATTTTCAAGATATGCTAATTTATTGGGGAAAAATTTTTGGCTTTCTACTTCTCCATCTTGATACTGGAATTACAGAAGGGTTGGCTTAGGTTAGGTTCAAAGTGAGTGGGTCTATTCGACCCTCCACCGCAACCCGCAAGGGTTCATTGTAGCTCACACCTATTCATACTCGACCAAATAAACCCAGCTTCTTAACGAAGCCGATTATTTCGTTTGGTGAGTGGTCTTTCAGGTCAGATGGTGAGAGCTCTACAGAACTCTAAAAACCTGATTCGGTCCACAGCGGGGCAGGCACAAAGTGTATTCTCTGCTGTTCCATCATTAATGAGGTAGTCGGATAGTGTATATAAGTGTATATAAGATTCCCACCTTGAAACCCGCGACAACCTTTCCATATGAGGGTTTTTGCACGTCAGCTACACCTGACGATGCCTTAGATTCAACCGTGCAGGGTTTGTTCGCCTCTGGTTTTGGGTTGGTTTGAGTGCAAACATTTGCTAACCTGCTTATGGGGGTTTTGTTTCTCTACCGGAGAGAATTTGGTGCAAGGTGGTTTCATAACGTACCACGCTCTTGAGGAGACGACTCAGTCGTTTCCTCAATGCACCACCAAACCTCTTTTTAGGTTCAGTTATTGGATCAGAAGTTGGATAGATGCGAAGTTCTCGCTCCTGATCTAAATTTACAGGGAGGTCAGTTGGAATCGTAAGCTCGACATCCATCTCCTCTGTAGACTCAGCGTCAGAAAAATTTTTTAAGTTTACTCTGTCCATAAAAGTCCCACGAGACCAGGAGGATAGTCGTAGCTCTAAATTTAATAAATATTCACTGTGAAAATATATGTTCGTAATGAAAATGCACCAGAGTAATTCAATTTCTATCAATTTCAGCAAACTGAAGAGCGCAACCATGATCTAGTTCAAGTGTATAAGAGTTACTTTGAGAGAAATGTTAATCCTACCAATTTAGCTTTGCTCATTGACAGTTATGTCAGACGGACGGATCTCAACATATACAGAGAAATGGACCCCTTGAAGAAAAAACATGCATCCTTGGCAATGCCTGTGATGAACATAACTGGATCTCTAAGTCCGCATATGGATGACACCGTTACATTCAACGGGCGACTAGATCCAACCAATTCTTCCTGGATGAAGGTGAATAATACTTTTTTACTACCCTGTGTGCGTGAAATCTCTTACGTCATTTATTTCATAGGGGGGCGACAGCTGAATAACAGAAAAACATATTTTTAAACAGTTTTTTTAACAGGCTCTTATAGCGCATATTTTTTGGCAATTTCAGTAAGCGAGCATAATTAATACGTCTAACATTTCACCATGAAGTTGTTTTGACTGTCTATAATCATGGGTATATTTCGAATCCCATATTGATTCTTGGAATGAAATAGTTACGGAATTTGAATTTAGCTTTCTCATACTAATGGACACACCTCTATGCAGGATGTGTGAACAGGAATATCAGATTGTCAGGCATGCCCTGTGCGAGTGCCCGGAATTATCGTCAATAAGAGAATGTGTGTTCGGCGAGTATTGGCCTTCACCTGCCGATATAAAGGAGATGTCTCTCAGTGACCTGTCCACCTTCCTGGAAAGGACAGGATGGACGATGACCTAGGAGGTCAACTCCTCGGAAGGATGTACAATGGGTCACATGTGGCCTAAGTGCTGTGGGCTTACACTCACCCTCCCTACTCTACAGATACAGAACTTCATATGCAATATGAGGATAACTGGAATTTGCAGATCATTATTTGCTTCCACGCTTCGATCTGCTCGTTAGTTTTCATTCCCTTTGAATTGTTCTTATAGACGAGTACCTTAAGCGCTTTCCTGATATTCTTTATTTTTCCAATATTGAGTGACAGTGTCAGGAATGGCTGGATAAGTAATGTGGTCTCCGGCACGATGAATGCTCGACTGTAGTTGCCCCCAAAAGATGTCGCTTATCGGTGTACTGATAAAGTCGATCCTTCTGGTTTTATATTTTTTATTTTTTCGATCCCATGACTCTCCACTCATTACTTGAATCACTTCATCTTCAGTGCAACATTTAATCAACTACATCAATTCAAAGATTTCGTCATCGAGTCCGTTCAACAGAAAACCAGTCCTTCCGCATGTTATGCAACATTTCATAAATCCATATCGGACAGAAAGGGGTGCCAGTATTATTGGCGATAACTGCTTGGTCATTCTTGTTATTTTTATCTACTCTCCTGTCTTCTGTCCTAATGTAGGAAAATAAGTAATCAAACTGCGTTCTTTCGTTCGACAAGATGTTTTTGCTCAGACTGTTCAGTAAGTTGTAGAGTGGTGGTCTTGCGATCTGGTCTTGCAACATCGAGTTGATATAGCAGTAATTGCCTTGGTTAAGCAGACCCCTTGGCTGCAAACTAACTGCCCTACCCTCGATCGTGTTTGTAGATAGAAACTCATCCATCCTATAAAACAGTCAGAATCCACGAACTGGTATAAATTCCTTCGCGGATATAAAATTCTTTTAGTATCGAATGATGCTTGGAATCAATTTGCAACCATTCAATTTTCCAATTCTGATTATTGGTGTATATTGGAAGGATACATAATCATAACTTTTGTATATAGCGATGTCTCGTCTGGAGAATATTGGGGTAGACCAAATTGAAACATTCATTTCGTTTGAATCGAACTTTCATAAATTTTTATTCAGATATAAATTTTACACTTAATGACGCAGAAACGTATTGACGTCACCCGAAAAAATATTTATGACAGGTTACTTATAGTGAACAAATTTTATATTTGATCAGATCCATAGTTTCAACATCTTTCTTTTCAACATCTTTGACATTATAATTAGATATACATATTTTTTTTAATGAAAGGGGTATATTTTCAAGATATGCTAATTTATTGGGGAAAAATTTTTGGCTTTCTACTTCTCCATCTTGATACTGGAATTACAGAAGGGTTGGCTTAGGTTAGGTTCAAAGTGAGTGGGTCTATTCGACCCTCCACCGCAACCCGCAAGGGTTCATTGTAGCTCACACCTATTCATACTCGACCAAATAAACCCAGCTTCTTAACGAAGCCGATTATTTCGTTTGGTGAGTGGTCTTTCAGGTCAGATGGTGAGAGCTCTACAGAACTCTAAAAACCTGATTCGGTCCACAGCGGGGCAGGCACAAAGTGTATTCTCTGCTGTTCCATCATTAATGAGGTAGTCGGATAGTGTATATAAGTGTATATAAGATTCCCACCTTGAAACCCGCGACAACCTTTCCATATGAGGGTTTTTGCACGTCAGCTACACCTGACGATGCCTTAGATTCAACCGTGCAGGGTTTGTTCGCCTCTGGTTTTGGGTTGGTTTGAGTGCAAACATTTGCTAACCTGCTTATGGGGGTTTTGTTTCTCTACCGGAGAGAATTTGGTGCAAGGTGGTTTCATAACGTACCACGCTCTTGAGGAGACGACTCAGTCGTTTCCTCAATGCACCACCAAACCTCTTTTTAGGTTCAGTTATTGGATCAGAAGTTGGATAGATGCGAAGTTCTCGCTCCTGATCTAAATTTACAGGGAGGTCAGTTGGAATCGTAAGCTCGACATCCATCTCCTCTGTAGACTCAGCGTCAGAAAAATTTTTTAAGTTTACTCTGTCCATAAAAGTCCCACGAGACCAGGAGGATAGTCGTAGCTCTAAATTTAATAAATATTCACTGTGAAAATATATGTTCGTAATGAAAATGCACCAGAGTAATTCAATTTCTATCAATTTCAGCAAACTGAAGAGCGCAACCATGATCTAGTTCAAGTGTATAAGAGTTACTTTGAGAGAAATGTTAATCCTACCAATTTAGCAATAATTTTTGTTTTGCGGATAAAGAGGTATAATATATCCAGTAAATATTTAAAAACGTCTCCTGCTTGTTGAACACATATTTGGGCCCTTCTCTTGACACTACGTGTTGCTTTCACATACATACATTATTATGTTTTATTTTGTACACTTCATTTTTCAGAAATCCCCAAAAATTAAAGATCTAGAGATGTCATGTCTGGTGAACGAGGAGGCCACTTAACAGGACCATTCGTAGCAATACATCTGTTTCCAAAACAGTCTCGCAACATTTTTTCTCCGTCCGTCCACAATGAAAATTATTTCTATTATACATCCCACAATTTGAAAAATTAGCCTCATCGCTCTATATAATATTTCAATAGAAGTTTGGATTTTGTCTACATTTTTTCATAAACCAACCACAAAACCCCCAATCGTCTCTCAGGGTCATCAGGTTCTAGTGTTTACACTGGTTTTAACTTATAAGGAGAAATCTTATGTTCCTTCAGAATTCGTTGAATGACAGACGGTGGAACAGCTGTTTCTCTAGATAAATCTGTTATGGAATTATTTGGATTTACCTTAAAGTAGGCTACAACCTCAATTTATGTATCTTCTGCTGTAGTGTTGGAGTGCTCTTACGCTATTTTTCTGGCAAACCAAGTAGGATTCTAACATATCACATTTTTCTTGATGGGAAAACAGAAATTTGAAAAATATTGGAACAGTAGTTAACAGTTACAATAATTCATGACATTGTCATGATCTACTTGAGATTATTTGACAAATAGTATTTCAACAAACGTTCAAGGCAACTTGATATATTATAATGATTCTGTTTTATCGAATCCAACACATTTTTTCTAACCACATTAATATGTCGCTCCAGAATTTTGTCTTTTGTACAAAAACGGCTTCAATGTTATCATTATAGCAGATATATTTTGATTCACAAAATAAATACGGCTAGTGGAATGGCTTTAAGATGGAAATTATCGTTTTGTAAATTATTACTAAATAGTTCAGTGATATCAGGAATTCAAATTCCAGCACAATTTTTTCTTTTTTTTTTGTTACTAACAAAATGCCAAAACTANGACATATTGTAAATAATAGAAAGGCCAATTGTAAAATTAATTTAGGGTGGTACACTTGTATGGGTGGTATTTCTGATTACCTACCTGTATGATGTACCTGATTAGTATAAGTAGCTTTAGTTTTGAGTAGTTTTTAGTTTTATCTTCCTCTTGAAGATGATCACTTGGTGATCGAAACACGTGTCGAGGTGTAAAAATAACGATTTGATATTGGGAAAAAACTCCAGTAATATTCATTACTACACCAAAGGTTCCAAACAGTATATCACAATGACATATTAATACTTCCGGTATAAGAGAATTCGAATTATAATGTAGGTTATTCTATTCTTTGTGTTTTTCTGTTGAATAGCTGTCAATAATAAGTATATGCTGATATAGAATTTTCTAGTGACATTTTTTTTCGAAAATAGTTTGAAAAATATGTCGTTATATTTTAACGACTTGGTAGTTACTAACACAATCATACACAGAGTTTCTTTTATTTTACATTGTTTGCGTTGGTTGGACATGTGCGAATGGTATGTATTGTTTAAAATTATTCTATCTGTATATCACCAACTGCCAATTTATATTTGATTTTCGCATTATTAGCAAGTTCGGTGAAACTGTGTCCTAGAATAGAACCTGTTTTAGAAAAATATTGAAATATTGTTTTGTTGAATTATTGGATATACATTCTGAAAACAACCTCATGTAGATCTCATAAAATATGTCTTTCCATCGTTTTCCATCACAGACGGCCATGAATATTAATTTGTGAAAATTAATTAATTCATTTGAATTATAAAAAAATTATCTATATATTTATCGCAACATTTTGCAGTTCAGTCTAATACTTAGTTAGTGCAAGGATTGCAGCTGAAATATTCAATTCAAATGAACTTGTGAATGACAATAGATATTTATTATATTACATCTATTATTATACCTACATGGTCTATCAGTAGCATTGAAACTATATAAAACTATATATTTTATTTGGATAATTTTGAAACTTTCAGGAAAACGTTATGATGGCACTCGTAGGTAGTAAAATATAAATTTCGGAAAGGACTAATATAAATCCTGTTTCACAAAAAACAAATTGTAGTCTCATGTAACTATATAGTGCTCAACAAAAGTAACGCATTGATTTTATAAAATCATTGACAGACATGATGAAAATGCTTGAAGATATCGATAATTGTTTCAAAAATGGTCATTTGACCATATTATTTTCGATCCTTATTTCTTTACCTTTGGAAG